GCGTATCTTCTTTGGTATCTTCGTGGTTTTCAATGGCAGTACAAGTTTTTTTCTCCAGTCGCTCTGCATGCTTCTGTCGAACAATTTCTCTTCTTTGTGCCAATTCTTCTGGTGTTAGCGACTTCGGTCTGCTCTCGGGTAGCATGTCCTTCTCCACTGGAAACATTTTCGATACGAATACGATAATCGGCGCTTCCAACGATGGATTGCACGATAAGAATGCTCTTTTCAGTTGCTGAGTTTCAAGAGGTAAAGCGGAGAAGTCGTTGTTTCCGCTTATCAATCGCTCGATTTTCTCGTGAGTTAAATTATGCGGTGCTGGAACCCTCTCGCATACCATATTGAGACAATTTTGCGCCAGGGGAAGCCATTGCGAGCAAACGGCTTGCAACTGTGCTTTTGGGTCTGTGTGCCTCAAATCGCGCGTTGTCAATTTAATATTTAATTTTTCAGCTATAGTCGGCAATTTATCTTTATCTTTTCGTATCACTATAGTCTCGTATAACACCCAGATATTATCCAAAATCAATTGAACGAAAAGTGGCTTCTTAGCCTTCTCCTGAGCCCCCTTCATGATCCTCTTCGTTTTGTTATTTATATAAAAATCCCCCCACAACGTTTTACGTAGAACCTTTTCGTTAAATCCTAATTTGTTCGAATAAATTTTAGCGAATTCCTTGATACCAAATCCCCAGCCATCAATTGCACTAGTGAAAAGAACATTTCCTTGTTCCGGAGCGAAGTATAAATTTGAATCATCTATCTCTTCCAATACGGATTGCCAATCGGCCAGATCTCTTTCGTTTACCTTGTCCCACGTAGACGCGACCGTCTCCTCGCGATCTTCACGTCGTTCCATCACGTCGCTCGCAAATAACTCTCCCATGATGGCATTTACTTGTTCCAAGACTTGTGTCAAACGTACGTAAGCGTCCAATGGCGTCAATTTCATTTCCGTGATCAATCGGTCAACTTTATTAAGTACTAAAATAGGTTTCAAATCCTCGACATAGGCTATAGATAAGGCGCTACGTGTCTGAGGACATACGCCTTCCACTACATCAACTAGAATGACAGCTCCGTCCGACAATCTGACTGCTGTTGAAACTTCAGAGGAGAAGTCCACATGCCCTGGAGAGTCAATCAAGTTTATCACATGGTCCATTTCGTCGTATACATGATATAGCGTTATGGAGCTAGATTTCATTGTGATCCCACGTATCTGTTCATCTGCTCTACTATCCAGGTATCTAAGTTTGCCAGCCAGTTTGTTAGATATGATGCCATTGCTCGCAACGAGAGAATCCGCCAGGGTGGTCTTTCCATGATCCACGTGCGCCAGGATACATATGTTCCTGATACGTGTGGCGTCAGTTTGTATCTCGCTAAGCTTCTCAACGCTGATCAAGCGCATCGTTACTCAGATAGGACAATGAAGGATGAAGAATACAGTTTGACGAAGTATGTACAAATATATACACACACACACACACACATATATATATATATATATATGTGTGTGACGTATCGTACTTACGTATCTTACGGTTTACAATATTCAGCGATTGCGACAACAAATGTAAACGAGTGACGTAGCAGTACGTGCAGCAATATATACATACAATTCGACCTAGGCTACTCTATATATTTATAAAAAACAAAACTTAAGCTAGTGTCGGACCGATTCGCATTCGCGCGCACGTGTCCAGCTGTGGTAAACACTATTTCAGTTTATTTTCCCTCCGACAAAGCGCGTAAGGTTTGTTGAACGCGAGGATGTAACGAAGGTTGAACGGCCTCGCTGTCGTCGTGCGGAACATGCCAGCGGACATCGGTTATCGGCGCGACGGAACGAGACACACGCAGACACGGGTGAACGACGGGCACGTGGACGGGATCTCTCCTCCTCGTCGATATGTGAGCTCGTAGCTCGACTGCTAACCGGAGTGGTAGTCGAGGCTGGATATGGCACTGACACTTGCCGCCTACTTCGAGAGGTTAGGTGCGCTGAAACGTGAACTTGACGCGCGCCGCTTTCTCACTCGTTTCGCCTCGTGCTCGCTCGATTGAGCTTTCCACCAAGTATCCGCCTGTGACACGGTTGAATTCGACCTGGACCCTTGATCAACGCGATTTGCCGTTCGTATCGTGCAGATCCACGAGACGTTTAACCGTAAAACATGCGGATGCAGACGGCCATATTGCTTCGGCGCGTGAGGGCAATGCGCGGTCAGTGCGATTCGATTTGCGCACGCGAGACAAAAATGGATAGATAAAGAGAGAGAGAGAGAGAGAGAGAGAGAGAGAAAGAGAGAGAGTTATAAGAATTAATCATTCGAAAAGAATTTATTTTTCTCTTGAACAAGGTCAAGGATGAATAAACCTTAGTTAGTCTAATTCTAATCAATGATGAGCTAATCGAGCTAATCGTATTATTTTTTATTGTTAATAGATAAAATTAATTTTTTCGTTGTTTAATTTGTTACAGAATTAGAAATTTTGCTGTTGAATTAATAACTGATTAATCGGAATTCGGTCGAATTTGCTCTAATGACTATTTCTATCAATGTAGATTAGTTTTAATCTCGATGTAACTTATTTTTATCTTTTTCTAGTGTTAAAAATTCATAATAGACATAATGGCACAAGTTTTGAATAACTACAAAAATATGATATACATGCATGTACATATATAGGATATAGATAATTCACTGTGAATTATTTAGAAGATCTAGCTTTGACCATCATAGCTTGAATATGCTTATACTTAAGTATATAATGGCTTTATGCCCGTTTTAACGTAAATTAACTTTAATCTCGGTTAACTTACTCGTCTTTTTCTAATGTTCGTTTCTAGCAAAATGTAGTTTAATTTTAATCTCAATTCAACTAACTGTTCATCTGTTTCTAATTCTTAAGATGAAGGATAAGTTAAACCGAGCTTAGAACCAAACTACATTATGATAAAAATGAATATACGAAGAAAGACTCGATAAAAAAAAGTTTTTATTACTTGAAATAATTTCATTAAAACAGAGCGATTTATCGTTGTCTATTGTTCGATAAATTTCAAAAAAACATTCGTTTTACTTACCCGTGTTTCTCTATGCTTGTTGTTTTTCCTACAACGTAAGTTTCGAGCCGGATAAAAGAAAAAAATGAAGGAAATAATTAATCAAATGGAATGCAAAGTGCGGCAAAAAAAATAACCGCCGCAATGCGATAGAGCCAAGTCGTAAATACGCTATTATTAGGCACAGGTAATTATATGATGATTATGAGAAAACTTCAAAGAGAATAATATGAGCTCCTAGTGCAAAGTATGAAGTCAATAATTCGTTTTATTTGCTATCTGTTACGTGACGATTGAATTTTCTGAAACAAATCCAAAAAAACAGTAGGTGTGCCCTTAAACGCTCGATTATTTTCTTATCTTAGCCGGTCGACAATTTATTATTGTAATAAATTGTAAGATTTAGGAGAAATTGGACACAGTAGATTTAAAGAAAATTTTTTTAAGAAAGAGATTAGGGAAATTTTTAATAGAAAAGATTTAGGAAAAGCATTCGGAACTTATAATTAGTGAACAATTCGATTATATTCTTGCCGCAATTTTGTCGAAAGTTTTTGCATATACCTTTCCATATCTCCTGTAATGTTTCTTGCAATATTGCAGCATGTAAGAGCGCAACATTGCCACTAAACAATGGAAAGAGTTTTGTGTACTCGAATCATACTTTCTGTAAAATTTTACGCATTAATATCAATTAAAAACCTATCAGTTATGTGTAACTATTTTATTCGCAATTACTGAAAATATGTAGGTACAAAATATATCGAGGTGTTTTTTTTTAAGACTATATAGTCTATAAGTTTAAAGCAATGATTTCATTATCATTAATCAATGATAATGAAAGCTTACATTAAAGATGAGCGTCCTTTTTTCCAAAAATTTGAATGTCATTCTCTCGAGCCCTTTTATCTCTGTTATTCCTTTTTTCCACTTTTAATAAATTATCAACATCTTATTGAGAGAGAATTAGCGCTATATTATATTTCAATCAAAACAGTGAAGAATATTCCAATGGGTCATTATTTTTTATCTTTTTTTCTCTCATTGCCAGGTAGCGTTTCCCGTCATATTTTTGAAGTTTAGTTAATAATATCCTCTTTTTATATGAAAAAAGGAATACTACCATGTCATGAGAGAAACGTTACAGCATATCCTTTACAGGAAGGAGGATGCTTATGTAATAAAAAATTTTGTTTAAATGAATTATATATATATATATAT